CAGAGAGAGGACTGATTTGATGTTTCTATAACAGTCTTTTAAATGGCACTTTTAGGGCCCTGCAGCATCGGTGGCGGCTCAAGTCTGGAGTTGGAGTCAAAAAGCTGTTTCGTCGGCCGTGGCTGAACTTAATCTTGCAGATTTGCTAATGTGTTTTAGGTGGGATCAACGTCTGAGGAAATATGTGGAGACTCCCTAGTTTGAAGAGGTTTGCTAAGTGACTTTGCCTTTTAAGTCGTGCAGTAGAGTGAAAGGATTAACCCAGTTTGCATAACAGTTAGCAGATTGTTTTCTTCTTCCGCACCCATTAAAATATTTGTTTATTAATTTGGAATCTGAGGCATGTTTTTCTACCCCTTCAGTCAGGTTATTCTTGACATGTTCGGCATTTTTCTGAACCTGAAGGTGAGTTCGTATGTAGGATTCTCATGTTTTTGAATAGTTTAAATAGTTGACATTCTGCTGAGACGTTGGTTTAAATATGCACCAAGTTGCAAAAAAAATAAAATAAAAAATGAGTGGATCAAGATGTGACACTATGACTTTGCTGCTCTATTCATTAAATACTACTACTTTTGAGTAAAAAATCCCATGCTTTTTTGGACTTTGCATAATGCATTAATAAAGCACGGATTGTATTTTATCTCCATCTTGACTTTGAAAGTAGGAAAATGCATCAGCGAGTCAGTGGAATGTTTTTCAGCATGTCTCGCCCATAATGGACTAGGCATGTAGCTTCTGAGTATTTGCCAAAGAACATGCCCTGAGAATAAAAAAAAGGCTCGATTCGACACACAAACGTTCCTAATCGTGTGTGTCTGAGATTGACACCAGTCTCTGATCGCACAAAGACCATCAGAAATGCCTTCTCAGACTTCATGTCTGTCTGCAATCTGCATCTCTACATCTGCGTTTGCTTTCGGGAGTCTGTAGTTCATTGTTAGATCGTGCTCCCGGGAAGGAAGTTGGGAACAGCGATTAAGCAGAAACGTCTATTGCATCATTTGACTTTCCTGAAAACCACAGGCATGGCTAAGAGACTGTTCTGAGGAAAAGAAAGCGTGCCATAGTCTGACGTCCTCCTCCCTCTTGTATTAACCATACATGGAGTCAAAAGCAGGCAGGTCAGTAATCAGAACCGTGAAGATGGTTATCATTGTCTGGAAGAGCAGCTCTGAAAAAGCTCCCATTATAAACCCAAAAAGAATGCAAGCAACCTTTGATCTGTACAGTATATGAATGCAGGAAATGGCAAGGCAGCTGTAAGCTAAAAATACCGCAAGTTACAATTATTCTGTAGGTTGAAAAGGTTGTTTTTGTGTAAAAATTTGGAGATCATGTACAGTCTCACTTTTTAATGCAGCATATACAGTTGTTTAATGTTGTGCAGTTCAGAGAAAAAAAGTAACAGTGTTTTCTTCTTCTGTGCCCATTCATTTACCTGAAATATTTGTTACTTTGTTACTTTTTAATAGAGTAACAAATTGTATCATTGCATCGTTCTGTGCCTGAGCACCACCATCACCAGTGAAGCTAAAAACCTTTTATTTTTGAATTCAGAGGATATATATATATACACACATGCAAAATTATATTTGAAAGTATATTAAGTACATAATGTGTCCTGTAAAGTAGCATATCACAAATCTGACTGTCTCGTCCTTTGTTGAATCACCCTTTGTTTCTGAGTTTCTCAGAGCATTGCATCAATGGCAGACAGATGTGCTTGTACAGTGAACAAGAGCTGAACTCAAAAGGCAATTTATCATAAAAAAACAAACCCTGAACCAAACATTGGCATTAAACAGACTGTCTAGTGTGAAATATTAAGCGATATTTTACATTTAAGGGGTTTGACTTACAAAAAAACATTTGTGAACCCCAGAAATAAAGGATTTTGTAAGATTTAAGAGGCTGTCATTCTGCCACCGCTTCACTCCAGACGTGACGTTTTTCATCCCCACAAACGCTTGATGGTCATTTATGCACGGTTCAAGACGTAACGCACCATTAAACACACTCACGATGACAGTCTAGTGTCATGCTTTTCCAGGAATCAGGATCTGTTTGTCTGAATGCACTGAAAAGGGAACAAAAGAATCCAAGAACACCGAGTTCGTATGGAGACGGAGTGAACTCATGGACGCCAATCGATCTATAAATGATACCCACTTTTTCTTTTACTTTGAAATACTTAAAATTGCTCCCGGTAATGAAATCCCCCACAAAACAGCCCCAGAGCGTCTCCGCTGGCCCTGCAGACTCAGACTTACAGCAGAAGGCTGAAGAGTGTTTCTGATGTGAGTCTGTGTGTGTTTAGCAGCGCTGGTTTCAGGTCCCGCCTCTTCGCCATTAAAGCAACAAGGTCTGTCTCTGTGTGGAGAGCCAGAACTGGCCCCGGGCCCCGGAGTCAGACAACATGGGAGCAGCTGTCTAAAGAGCAGGCCGGTTTGTCCTTTCAGACGGACACAGATGCTGCTTTATGTTGCTTTATATATCTATATTGCACTGCTGTTATTGGACAGAATATAAGATATGAGACCTCTTTACTGTTTCAAACTATTTGGCATCACATGTGATATCAGAAACACAGCTGATATGAGAAATCTCCCCGTCAGAGGTCAATGATATGGCTTTGCACAGATACTGATGACAACGTTAAAGATAAAGCTAGTTTCCAATTAATAGGTCAATAGTTTTAATGTTCTACTCGTATGTTTTATTATCCTGCTGATGTGTGCATGTTTGAAGCAAATGTTTTCATGTAACAAATATGACCAATAATTCTTAAAGAGAATATCATCAGCGATCACTTAATAGTAATTGACTGGTAACCTAGTATTAACTTTTTTTGTGTGTGTGGTAAAAGTATTTGTAAGAATACAAAAAAAAATCATTAATAAATATTGACTGGAAAATTATGTTAGTATTATTTTTATTTTTATTATTGTTAGCGATAAACCAAAGAAAAAAAAAAAAAGTTCTGGGCCGAAACAGAAAATTCAGAATGCACAAACCGAAATGACTTGAATTACTATATACATTGTTTTTTTTGTTTGTTTGTTTGTTTTAGCTTTGTAGGACTATTATTTGGATAATTAAACAAAACAAACAAAAAAAACAGTCAATTTTATTGTTTTACTTTTTTAATAAAAGTGTGGTTATTTTACTGGCTTGCATTTTTTTTAAAATATAAATTCAGTATTAAAATTATTGAGCTAAATTAAAATGTCTTACAAAATTATTTTATATTATTTAATAAATTAATAAATATTAAAAAAAAAAGCATTTTCGGTTTTGGTTTCCAGCCAAGTGCTACAGTGTCTACTCCCCAAAGATAAAAAGTAACTGGTGTGAACAAAATTACGGTCCTTTAGCACATTTTTCCCGACCTGCTCAGTCATCTTTGACACGGTAAAAGTTTGTCACAGTGGTTTTGTATGAAAGCTTGATTTATAAAACATCTCCTGTCAGAGGTTGTGTGTTTTAAAGGTGCTGTGAGGTAATTGTCTCTTAAAGCTCTTGTTTTCCATGAAAGCAGCTCTTGTGTGTTGGAGTGGAGTGTTATTACTGTATTAGCGCGGGTGTGGTGGGAGGACTGGGTCTGATGGTAATACAACCCGTCTGTGCTAAAAATAGATGTGGAAGGAAAAGCCTGGATGTCTGTGGTCTGCTGCGCTAATCACAGGGCAAGGTTAACTGAGCAAACCTGCAGTGGAAAATGGATGTGCACAGATTGTTGCGTAGTTTTCTGCAACGCATGAGGTGTTCGTATGTGCTTACATAACACAGAAACCTTTACTAGGCCTCCTCAGAAATAATGGACCATCTACCCACATAAACAGTTCCTAGCTATCAACTGGTCAATACTGGATCATTTCAGTATATATGCAATGATTTTTTTGTTTTCTGGTTTAAAAAATTCATTCATTCATTCATAGTAATATTGTCATATCTTTATTAATTTTTCTTTTTTTTATTTTATGCATACTGCATATATTATCAATACAATTCTGGGTAAAATACTTGCAAATTGTAGTCCATTATTGTGTAAAAGTTACATGATGAAAATTGTAGTTAGTAACGTAATCTCTTAGATTATTCATTTTAGGTTATGTATTCCAATTACCTTCCGAGTAATTTTGACCTAACTTGTTTATCTCCTATATTGATATGTGGATATGTAATCATGTAATCCATAAAAAAGCAACTGCAATTTTTAAAATGTAATAAATAAATGCAAATATATGTGTGTGTGTGTGTGTCTGTGTGTCTGTGTGTCTGTGTGTCTCTGTGTCTGTGTGTGTGTGTGTCTGTGTGTCTGTGTGTGTGTGTGTGTGTGTGTGTGTGTGTGTCTGTGTGTGTGTGTGTGTGTGTGTCTGTGTCTGTGTGTGTCTGTGTCTGTTGTGTCTGTGTATATATGTATATTAGTGCGGTCAAAGGATTAATCGCATTCAAAATAAAAGTTTTGGTTTACATAATATATGTGTGTGTACTGTGTATATTTATTATGTGTATATAGATACAAACACATGCATGTTTATATTTAAGAAAAATATGTTTTGTTTATATCGCCTTGAGTGTAAGAAAGGCACATTACAAATAAAATGTGTTATTATTATTATATATATAATTTTTAAATGTATATGTGTGTGTATTTATATACACATGATAAATATACACAGTACACACACATATATTATGTAAACAAATACTTTTATTTTTTTATGTGATTAATCCTTTGACAGCACTAAAATGACAGCACAAATATTTTATTTATTTTGTATTTATTAATTAATTATGTGGGGGGAAAAGTCCTGAATTTTAATATTTGTTGTCTGGTTTATAATATCATCCAATTAGATACATATTATTATTATTATTATTATTATTATTATTTTGTTGCACAGGCCCACTTGCCGCTCTATAGAGTTTAAGACTTTGTTCCCAGCTCTATCAGGTTGAGTAACCTCTGTTCGCCCTCGTTTCGTCTCGTACAGGAAGGGCAAAGGGAAGCCCAATGGAAAGAAGCCGCCCCCCGAGGAGAAGAAGCATTACCTGGATGCAGAACACACCAAAGTGAGAGTCGTCGACTTCGACCTCAAGGAGCTGGTGGTTTTGCCGAGAGAGATCGACCTGAACGAGTGGCTCGCTTGCAACAGTGGGTTTCTCACCTCACCTCATTTCCTTCAATAGAATTAAGACCAAAGTAAAGTTACAGTGCAGTTGTTTTCACTCTCTCTTTGGTTACAGGATCACGTCTGAACCCAAGATCGTGTCCTGCATGCTGTTTAATTATATTTAGTTGCTTTAAGTGATCTAAGATGAGCATTTCTAATCAGTAGTACACATTACTCTTTTTTTTTTTTTTTTTGGCCCGAGGAAACCCAGGGTCCCTAAGCACTTTTGTGGAAAATGCAATAGGAATGTGCTGGTTGTTTTTAATCTGGTAAACGGCAACCGTCGTGTTGTTGTGTCTAGTTACTAGGTGTGTTTTGAAAACATGTCTTCTTTTCATCTGAGGGAATGTATGATTTCAGCTCGGTGTTATATAACTGCATGACAAAACCAGCTCAGAATAACATTCCCGAAGCCACGAATCACAGCATTGTTTGCATTTCCCTCTATTTTATCTGGAAAGAAAACATGTAAAAAAAAAAAAATATGGCTCAATTTATGAAACTTTAATGGACTTTCAAATTCCACAAGCACTTATTAAACCAAATCACTGCCTTTTGTGGTTAATTGAAGCCATTTCTATGGATCAGCTCACAGTCGTCTCATACGGTGCTTGTTGAGCTACATTTCGTCTACATAGAATATATGCAGAATACATATGTAATATATTACCAAAGCTGCAGTAAAATTGTGAAATAATATTGCAATTCAAAACAGCTGTTATCTATGTGAATATCTGTTAAACTGTAATTTATTCCTGTGATGCGCAGCTGTATTTTCAGCATCATTACTGCAGTCTTCAGTGTCACATGATCTTCAGAAATCATTCTAATATTTTTTCAGGATTCACAGATGAACAGAAATTTCAAAAGAGCAGCATTTATTTGAAATATAAATATTTTCTAACATTATATATGTATTTCCTGTCACTTTGTCATCTTGCTAGTATAAGAAGTCTACATTTTTTAATATTTTTGTGATATATTTTATTTTTCAGGATTCACAGATGAACAGAAATTTCAAAAGAGCAGCATTTACAGCATTTATAAATATTTTCTAACATTATATATGTATTTCCTGTCACTTTGTCATCTTGCTAGTATAAGAAGTCTACATTTTTAAACAAAAAATATAAAAAATATATATATAGTTATAT